CCTAACAAGAGAAACATCTTAAATAAGAAGACAAAAAAGGTCAAAATAAAATAGTAGAATAAACTACATAAACCCTGACCAAATGAACAGTTTCTTTACGAATATCAGGCAAAAATAGACTCCAAGACAGTATGAAAAACTAGATTATCCTAAAGAAAGAAACAGACAAATCAGCAATAACACAAGAATATTTTTAACTCAACTCTCAGTAAGGCGAGAGTATGCACCCAAAACATTCATAAAGATATTTAAGACTTAAACAACACCGTTAACAAATGTCACCTACTGATAGAGGAGAATGCATCCAACAGCTGTAAAATACACATTCTTCTCAAATGCACATGGAACATTTTTCAAAATTAATCATCTGGTGTTCCATAAAGCAATTGTCAACAAATTTCAAAGATTAATAATCATAAAGTATGTCTCTGAACGTCAAGAATATAAGCTAGAAAATAAAAACCTAAAATTAGCCAGATAATTTCTTTATGTTTGAAAATTAAGCAAATAACTTCTAAAGAACCCATTGACAAAATAATAACAATAGAAGTTAGAAGGTATTTTGAGCTGAATGATGAGAATATAACATATCAAAGCTTGTAACAGTCAGCCAAAATCTTACTGGCATTTATTAGCAAAAACATCAAACATCTTACAGTATCAGATTTTGGTAAAGATGTAGAGTAATGGGAGTGTTATGCCCTGTTGATAGGACTGTAACTTATAACACAGCATTAGGGAAAACTGCAATCATTTGTAAAAGTCAACATATTAACATTCTACTTAACACAAAAGAATTTCTTTCAGGATGTCCATAGCAGTACTGCATGCAATATAAAAAACTGGAAACAACTCAAATGGTCACTGATTGAAGGATTATATAACCTGCACTATATTCACACATGGCAGAATACAAGCAGGGGAAAGGATGAGACTAAAGCAACATGCACCAATGTGACCAAATATTAGAGAGTTAACATTGCGGATAAAAGTAAAATTTAGAAAATCATGTACCACCAATGTAATTTTAATAAAGTTAAGGAATAATAAAATCTAAATGATATAGTTTAAGGATGAATTTACTGTTGGTATTACCTTGGGGGAAAGGCAGAGAAATAGCATCAGGGAGGTACACACAATAGTTTCAATTACATTGATAATATTTTAGGTAAGAAGCTACACAATATCTGAATAAATT